CCATCCTACATTGAGCACGTTCACTAAGTTTAATTTCAGTTATATTTTTCAGTTCTAAAATTTCCATTTGGTTCTTGTTTCCTCTATTCCTTTCAGCGACTTTCTCTCTTTGCTAAGGCTCTATTTTTAATTGTTTCAAGCATGTTTTTATTTGCTCACTGGAGTATTTCTGCTTTGGCTGCTTTAAAGTCTTTGTCAGATCATTCTCACGAGGGTCATCTCAGTGTTGGCATCTGTAGATTGACTTTCTTCAGTCAATTTGAGATCCTCCTGGTTGTTGGTGTGATGAGTGAATTTAGACTGGGGCCTGAACCCTGGTTATTATGTTCTGAGCCCTTTGGTTTTTGTGTGCTTCCTCTAACACTGGTCCAGCGGGGTCAGGAGGGTGCTTTCTCATTACTGCCAGGTGGGGTGAAGTCCTGGATCCCCACTCGGTCTCTCTTGATACCGAGGGGCATCCTTTGTTGCTCTGGGAGAGGCCCAACTCCCCTGGGCCTCCATGGGTACGTCCCTGGCTATGAGAGGTGGGAGTGCCCCCTCATGCCCTTCACTGATGCCATGGCAGGGCAGCCCCATCACTGGCTGGGCTGTGATGAAAGTCCTGTTGTCCCCGAGGCCTCCCCTGGCACCACCCAGATGGTAGAGGGAGGGTCCCTAGGGCTACAGTCCACGTTGGGGTGGCCATCTAGGCTCCCGTGTCATCTCCACTGACACCACCCTGGGGGCCGGGGACCTGGGTGGGGGTGTGTAGGCTCCTGTCTCAGCCTTCCTAGGCACGGTGCTGGGGAGGGACCCTGGCTTTGCCTGTGGTGCTTGGCACAGCACAGTGACTGTTTCCTAAGGGTTCTCTTTCTGGATGGGCTGCCCTTTGTCTGGTCCTTTGCCCAGAAAGAGCTGCTTCTGCAGGGGCTTCTTTATCCATGCCAGTCAGCATTTCCAGGTTACTGGGTTCTTCAGCTCCAAGTCTGTGACGTTCAAGGCAGAAAGAAACCCAGGGATGAGGCGTGGTGCTCCCTCAGGTCCCAAGGTCGCCGGCCAGTCTGGCCTCTCCTCTCACCTCTCAGGGTTTCACGGCCAGTGTTTCCAACGTACTGCGTGGGGGCAGGAGAGGAAAGTACGCCGACACTGTCTTCCCAGAAGCAAGAGACGTATTATTAACATTTAAGTGTCTTTGCCAAATAGTATAAATTGCAAGTGCAAGGCAGAGAGTCCGGGCCTTTGTGTGCAAATTTGCCACCAGGGCCCAAGGAGGTCACCTCCCGAGAGGACCGGATTCCCTCCTGGCTACCTGCGGCACCGAGGGCCTCTTGCTGGAGGCACTTAGTTTGCACAGACTTGATTTATGTTGGGTTATTCTGGGTCCCTTGCATTGAATTTCATCAGGACGGCCAAGGTGGACAAAAGTGAACATAAAATCTGCTGCACAGGGTGGTGACTTTCTGGAGCAGGGAGCCCAGGCTGGCAGGCTCCAGGAAGGGCAGGGCCTGTCTTCTGAGCACGGCGATTTCACAGTTCACATCATCAAGCAGAGATGGGCTTAAGTGGCTGTTGCTGGAAGAGACGCATTAGTGGATTTCCTGCGCCACCTCGTAAGGAGGGTGAACTCGAGCCTCTCAAAGGCACGCGGGTCCTGGCGGGCGGGTGGGCGGCTCCGTGCTCAGGGATCACCATAGAGACAGATGCTGCTGCAAAGTACACAGAGGAAAACGGGGAGTGAGTGCCCGCATGTGATGAAGTGTCGCCAGATTTCCTGAGAGACAGGAAGTGGTGTGAAGACAGGGCACCTACTGACGTCTCTTGTAATGGGCCCTCGGACCCAACTTTTCCATTCGTGTGTTGTTTCTGACGAGGGATAGAAATGGAAACTATTTTTGGATCCAAACCCTGGACAGATTTTGGAGTTCAGATTCATAAAAGGAAGACTAAGAGCTGGTTAGAATAACATTAGAAACACAGATTATTTTAAAAGCCACGGATCCATCAGCCCCACGACAAACACGGCTTCAAACTACCACCTACTCCACCGGGACGCTTCACCAGCCAGAAGACTTACCCTTGGCAGGTAGATGTCTGAAGGCCCCCATCCAAGCTGGCTCTGCTCGCTGGTGACATGGAATAAAGCTTTCTGGAGCCACAAGTTCCTCTTGTGTTCCAGAGCCCGGCCATGGTCTGGCCCAGAATAGGTGCTCAGTCGTGTTTATGGAGAGAATTGGCTGCACTGGGCACCTTTGCTCCACACCCCTAAATCAATAGGAAGGTTGGAGTCTATTTATATTTGGCTCTTAAAGTTGGGTTGGCCTTCAGATGAGCAAAGACATTTATTCAAGTTCAAGATTCTACATTTCTTTTGCAAATAAGATCTGAGTTTGGAAATTACCTTACATTATGGGATGTTATGGCTTGGTCTTAGAAGAATATTAGACCATGGACAAGCCAGCGTGTAGACCTAGTGCTCCCTTCTCGGCTGCTCTGCGTGTGTCACTGTTTGCCATGACACGTGAGAGACTGTGTTAAGTCATGTTCCAGCATCTTCTTTTATCATGTGCCTTATGGTTTAGGTTGAGTTGTGTGTGTGGAGGTAGCAGTCCTTGTTGTGTGTCAGTTAGAATTGGGTTCTACCAGGGATGGGGGCACCACCTAGTGTCACAGATGTGACCACACAGAGGGCTTGTGTCTCATGGCTGTACCTGCTATGAGAACGGCTGGGGGCATGGAGGGTTTGCAGCTGGGCACGGGGTGTGTTGCTGCCCCTGGTGAAATGGGATTATGTGGATAAAAAACAAGAGAAGGCCCTTAGGTGGACGGTCTGCACTCTCTGCTGTGTGCACTCGGTGCTGGATCCTTTCTTGTAGTTTCTTAGGTCCTGCTGTGTGGGCCTCAGTGGGACATCTCTGAATGTGCCTTTCTGATCAGCCAAGACGGGAACAGGAGCTTGTTTGCACAGCTGTATGTCAACATCAGGCTGAGAGAGAGAGAGGTCCTGGGGACATGTGTTCTGAGAGAAACAGGACCTACCACACTCGATACCATGCCCTGGCTCATGTGAGCAGAGGCAGGAGGCGGGACCGGGAGGCATGTCCCTGATGACACTTGGGGCCTCTGACTCCAGGCTGGAGGAACCCCAAAGGAGAGAGGTGTCAGGAAGTGGTCCCATGCTCCATCCCAGATCACTAAGTCCTGCTGGTACCATCCAATCCCATCCCACATACTTCTGTGATGAAAATACCTGCTGTGCTCACTAGCTCTCTTGTCCACTTTCACCCCCCATGGCTTCCAGCCTTCAACATGAAATGGGATGGCCCAGGAGGTCTGCCACAGCTAAATGGAAAGAGATTGTTGGCTATTTAGATCAAATAATATGGTCTTTTATAGCTATAAGACATGCAAAGACAAGGCCATTGTACTTTTGTAGATTTCAGATTTGCATGTTAGATGAGAATCTATATTTTTAAATTGCTATGATGGGAAAAATTAGTGCTAATATTATTGAATGCTGAAAATCTATAGTTTAAAGCTTTATACATACAACTATGTGAACAGCCTCCAGATGTACTGGCTTAAACCAAGCACCATTCATCACTGATCACCATCTTCTAGGTGGGGGTCCAGCTAGGCTGGTCTTGGCATGGCTTACTCATGTGTCTGAAGTCAGCTGGTCCAGGAGGGCTCCATGTGGATGTCTAGTGGTTCACCAGCTGATGCCCAGGCCCCTGGAGAGTCATCCCAGGGCTGTAGGTGACCTGGGAGGCAGGGATGGGCTGCTGGCTGAGCCTGTGAATGAGACACGTTCAAAAGCATGAGGAAGTGGTTCAGTCTCGCCCAGGATGGGCGTGGGGGTGGTGGGTGGGGATGGAGGGCTTGGCTGTGGAGAGTGTGATCCCCATGTGGAAACTAACCCCAGGGTTGGGATGCGCTGCACACCTTCCTGGCCGGGCCCTAGCTGCCTGATGATGCAGGGACTTTTCCTCTCCCTCGGGTCTGTCTGTTGGCACAAGGCTGTTTATTTACCAAGCGCTCAGTGAGAACTCCTGTGCATTTCCTAAGAAGATTGGGGACTGAAGGGTTAGCACTGCTATTTTTGTCTTAGCAGCACCACGCCTTCAGTAGGAGAGGTGCTCGGACAGGTGAGTGCGCCCCTGACCACAGTCTGTAGGGAGCTGGGCCAGTGTAAATGGACCAGGAGACTCTGGGCCTCAGAGAACTTGAAGCCAAAGTGAAGCTAGAGATGAAAATGAAGCTTCTCTGAGGAAAGGAACTTAACCACCATGAATTTCACTGAAACATCCTGTGATGAAGTTTATCATTGAAGCCAGAAAAGTGAACCCAGTAGTGAACCCCAAAGCTGCCAGAAAACAGAGCCTGGTGGCAACGTGAGTTTGGAACATATCCGGTTAAGCAGGGTGATGCCTTTTCTGCAGATGCTCTTGTCCACAGGTGGTTATGCCTTCCCAGGAGGGGACATGGGATGTGGCCTTGGGTCAGAGATGGGTGTGTGGGCACTGGGTCAGCCAGTCTGCTTAAGTCAAGGGTGTCCGTCCTCCAAGTGATGTGGCTTCAGACAAGTTCTTTGGTCTGAGCCCTGGTTTCCTCATCCGTGAAAGGCACACAGCCACAGCACTTGTGGATGGAAGGTTGTGGGGTCAATCTGCGTGCTTACTCCCTGCCTGGAGGTGGACAAGCTCCCTGAGGGGTGAGTGCTGAGTGGTGCACATTCTCTGGAGTGCCTGTGAGTGGACACTGGGCCGCTCCGTCTGTGAAGCCTGGCGGAAGAGCTCGATGTGGTTGGTCTGCAGTGAGGGCTCAGGAATGTCGCTTGGTGGCTAAGTGGGGGGGTGATGGGTGTGTGGGGGTCATGGGTGCTTTACTGTATCGAGGCAGGAAGCAGAGGGGGCCTTCTTCCGGCTGCACTGAACTCACCCTCCCTGGGCTGCTTGGTCAGAGAGCCTGTAAATTCCTTGCCACTTAAGTAAGTCTGAGTAACGCTTTCTGTTTCTGGCCAGCACCTCTGTGGACGGAGCATGGGGCAAAGTGGCTGTGGGAGCGGCTGGGTGCAGACGCAGCCCAGCTTCCTGGCCCAATCTCCATCCATCGCCTGACCTCTGCTTCTCAGTGCCTCGGCATGGAACCTCTCCTCTACGCAACCTCAAAGTCCCCCCAAGGTACAGAGCAGAGGAAGGTGGGGAAACACCGGGGAAGTAGGTGAGCTCTGTGCATGCAGGGGAGACACATTTATACAACAGTGGCACCTATACCACTTCTTGATGTAAAGCTGGTGGTACGTGATTTTTGGCTAATGCTGAAAAAAGGATGTAGAAGCCAGCTGTCAAACTGTAAGAACTGGTTTATAATCCCAAAGCTCTAAATTCTGTGATGCTGTAAGTTTCAGGGCTTATCTACCATTTCTGGAATACTGTACCATCTTTAAAATTCTATAGCCCTGAGTATTTCGAAAGTTACTCTGAAAAGTACTCATGTATAGACAAGGAACCTCAATGCTGGTCATTTTATCTTATCTTTTCAGTCTTCACACTTTGTAAAACATTAGTCCTCACTCATCATTGACCAAAGAGACCAGATAGTACTCGACAAAAAGGAGTGAAGTATTTATTTCAAGAGAACTAGAGAGAAGTGTTAAATAAAGTATTTAAGGAGAACTAAATAGTTTGACAAATAGTGTAAAAAAGGAAAGCACCTACAAAACATAAGAAGAAATTTGGCAGGGACTTTATTTTTTTTTCCATTTATTTTTATTAGTTGGAGGCTAATTACTTAACAACATTGCAGTGGTTTTCGTCATACATTGAAATGAATTAGCCATGGAGTTACATGTATTCCCCATCCCGGTCCCCCCTCCCACCTCCCTCTCCACCCAATCCCTCTGGGTCTTCCCAGTACACCAGGCCCGAGCACTTGTCTCATGCATCCAACCTGGGCTGGTGATCTGTTTCACCATAGATAATATACATGTTTCGATGCTGTTCTCTCGAAACATCCCACCCTTGCCTTCTCCCACAGAGTCCACAAGTCTGTTCTATACATCTGAGTCTCTTTTTCTGTTTTGCATATAGGGTTATTGTTACCGTCTTTCTAAATTCCATATATATGTGTTAGTATACTGTAATGGTCTTTATCTTTCTGGCTTACTTCACTCTGTATAATGGGCTCCAGTTTCATCCATCTCATTAGAACTGATTCAAGTGAATTCTTTTTAATGGCTGAGTAATATTCCATGGTGTATATGTACCACAGCTTTCTCATCCATTCGTCTGCTGATGGGCATCTAGGTTGCTTCCATGTCCTGGCTATTATAAACAGTGCTGCAATGAACATTGGAGTGCACGTGTCTCTTTCAGATCTGTTTTCCTCGGTGTGTATGCCCAGAAGTGGGATTGCTGGGTCATATGGCAGTTCTATTTCCAGCTTTTTAAGAAATCTCCACACTGTTTTCCATAGCGGCTGTATTAGTTTGCATTCCCACCAACAGTGTAAGAGGGTTCCCTTTTCTCCACACCCTCTCCAGCATTTATTGCTTGTAGACTTTTGGATAGCAGCCATCCTGACTGGCGTGTAATGGTACCTCATTGTGGTTTTGATTTGCATTTCTCTGATAATGAGTGATGTTGAGCATCTTTTCATGTGTTTTTTTGTGGCAGGGACTTTAGTGAAACTGGAACTTTAGTGATGAGAATAACAACCCATCTGCACTGGGGAAGATGCTCTCCATGGGTTTTGAGCTTCTGTGGGTCTGGCTGGGACACGAAGGACCAGGCTCCAGCTGGGCCACTTCTCTGTGTGGGGGTCCCTGTGAGTAATCTCAGCGATGGGGTGGGGTCTCCTTCCAGGACAGAGGGGGACTGCAGCAGGTGGGCCCCCACGCTCCGGGGTCTCAGCCACCACACAACCCATGGCACGTGGACAACCTTCCCTCCACATCCTGTGTGGTCCTGGGGACTCCAGGGCCACCACTGGGCCCCAACTGTTGGAGCTGGCCTCTCTAACCCCAGAATGCAGGTCTTCTCAGTATCAGTGGGATGGAGACGTCTAAGGATGAGAAAGCAGCTCCCCAACTCTCCAAGTTTTGACGGTTTCAGAGACGTTGTGTTTGGTTGATTTCCATGAAAGCTTCGCTGTGCTTTGTCGGCATCTGTGGGCTCCTGGCGTCGGTCGCCAGCAGAGGGAGCCCTGTGATGGACGAGCGTCCCTGGCGGTGCTGGCTGAGCCTCACACCTCGCACCGTTATCCCCCTGAGGGAGCCGGGTATGAAACACTGGCCTCATTGAGGGGCTTCAGGCATGAAGGTAAGAGCGTCACATTTTCCAAGGGGACCTCCCAGGAAGGGGGAGCAGGGGAGTGTACGTGGCCTTGTGTCAATAAAAGATAATTTGAAGTTGATAGCCCCCGACTCATGAAAGGAGTGGACCTGCATGCAATAGCATATCTATCTTTGAAACTCTGAAACTTTCTCTCCTGTGACTACCCTGCATGCTTTTAAGAAATGAGGTCCTATCTTGGGACTATCTGACATGTACTATGTCTAGAACTTCAAAGGGAAGCACAAGCGGGTCCAGGCATGCTGCTCTGATAGCTCCTGTCAGCTCCCTGTCGCCTGTCAGCTCTTCAGGTGACTGGAGTGTCCAGAGCTGACCGTCCACCCGAGGCTGGACCAGTTTCCCAGGAACAAGTCTCAACGTCAGCCTGTGACAACCTCAGAACCTTCAGTTGGCTTATATAATAAAGCTTCTCCATGTGGAAGCACAACAGAAATACGTTCTTTGAAACAGAGAAAAACTGCAGTTCAAAGTTGCATTTAAACATTGCCATATGCTACTCTCTCAATTTTTCCGCCCCCGACATATATACGTTACCGTGTTTAAAATAGATAGTTAGTGGGAAGATGCTCTACAGTGCGAGGGCTTAACTCAATGCTCTGTGATGACCTAGAGGGTTGGGATGGGGTGGAAGGGAGGTTCAGGAGGCAGGAGATATATGTATACGTATGGTTGATTCACGTCTTTGTATGGCAGAAACCAACGCAACATTGTAAAACAACTATATTCCAATAAAAAGTATAAAAAATTGCTGAATAGAGGGAAACTGAGTGGAAGATTAGTAATGATAAGGGTGGTGATAATGATGGCCATTTCAACAACATCTCTCGTCACTTGGAATTTCTTCTGAAGCTGGGGGTCGTGTGGGTTGTGCATTGAGGTTACTCAGCCTCCAAATCTGGCTTTTTTACTTCTGTCCTGGGACAGCAGCATGACCTGGTGGGTGTAACATGGGGTCTCTTTGTCCGTGTGCCTTTCCATTTCATCATTGCTTTAATCCCCACCCTCTCCCTCTCGATTGTCGTTACCACCATTTTGCCTGAAAGCACCCTGCAGGACTCAGACAGTCCAAGAGTAAGAGGAATGAGAAAGTGCCCCTTGTCCCCAAGGCAGCTCTGCTCTTCTTGGAAGAAGATGTGTGTCAGAGGAAGTGATGTCATCAGATCTGACTTTACCACATAGTGTTATGAGTAAAGGGTTATTTCCCTAGAAGAGGGCTTATGCCTAAAACTTGAAGGAATACTTAGACTCCTCATAGAAGCCATGAGCTCTATGGCTCAGAAGCCATGAGCCTTGGAGGCACCTGCAGGTCAGTCAGTGAGGGCAGTTCAGCGCTGGCTGCACCCTGCCCACTGCTGTCTGATTTGTGCAGATGAAGCAGCATCACTCTGAGAGGCTCCTGGTCTCAACCAGGAACTCCAGGAGACCCTGGTGGGGCTGGTGGTTCAGCCAAGGTGTGGGTGGTGTGGCTGCCAGGGAGAGCCCTGAGGCGCCTTGAGTCCTGGGCAGCTCAGCTACTGAGTGAGTTGCTGGAGGGTCTGGGGTGGCTGGTGTTGGTTTTATGCGGACACCTAGAGGGAATCAAGCTGCACAGATGTGGAGGGTCAAGGAGACAGGGAGGCCCCTCTTCTGGGTGGAGAATCTTCTGGGAAACTCTTGACTGCAGGCGAGGAGGAGGAGAAGGCGTCCTTCGAACACAGTGAGTAAGTCCCACGCAGGTGGTGCTGCACTGGGTCCTCCCAGTGAGATACTTGGGGACTCAGGGCTGCCCTTGGGGCTCTGAACCCGCATATGGCTGTGCCCATCCCATGCACCAGGCAGGCCACCACTTCCTGGCGAGCCACCGTGATTTGACGAGAGGTTTTTTTCTCTGAACCTCATTGCCTTAACAGTTTCTGACATTTCCCACTCCTCTTATTTTTGTAACCCAAAAGATACATTTCCCTGTGTGTGAGCAGGTGTGCGTGTCTGTGTGTGAATGTGTACATAAGTGCATCTGTGCTTGCGTGCTTACACATGTGTACATGTGCCTGTGTGTGAATGTCCACATATGTGTGTGCTTGTGTAAATGCACACATGTGTGCATGTGCGTGTGCCTGTGTGAACATGTGCCTGTGTGTATACACATGTGTGCATGTGGAAATGTACAGAGCAGTCAAAGCAGGTGGCTGAGGTGGGAAGGAGGTACTGGACAACAAAATGCTTGAGATGCTTGATGCCAGTTAGAACTTGAACAATTAAAATCATGCATAGAAAACTAGTACAGCCACTATGGAGAACAGTGTGGAGATTTCTTAAAAAACTGGAAATAGAACTGCCATATGACCCAGCAATCCCACTTCTGGGCATACACACCGAGGAAACCAGATCTGAAAGAGACACGTGCACCCCAATGTTCATTGCAGCACTGTTTATAATAGCCAGGACATGGAAGCAACGTAGATGGCCATCAGCAGACGAATGGATAAGGAAGCTGTGGTACATATACACCATGGAATATTACTCAGCCATTAAAAAGAATTCACTTGAATCAGTTCTAATGAGATGGATGAAACTGGAGCCCATTATACAGAGCGAAGTAAGCCAGAAAGATAAAGAACATTACAGCATACTAACACATATATATGGAATTTAGAAAGATGGTAATGATAACCCTATATGCAAAACAGAAAAAGAGACACAGATGTACAGAACAGACTTTTGGACTCTGTGGGAGAAGGCAAGGGTGGGATGTTTCGAGAGAACAGCATCGAAACATGTATATTATCTATGGTGAAACAGATCACCAGCCCAGGTTGGATGCATGAGAGAAGTGCTCTGGTGCACTGGGAAGACCCAGAGGAATCGGGTGGAGAGGGAGGTGGGAGGGGGGATCAGGATGGGGAATACATGTAACTCCATGGCTGATTCATGTCAATGTATGATAAAACCCACTACAATATTGTAAAGTAATTAGCCTCCAAGTAATAAAAATAAATGAAAAAAAAATCACACATAGATAAAGTTTTAAACAAAACCCAGAAAGTCAGAGAGTGGTAAGAGAATAATGCTAGCCATCACCTGACCACCCAAGCTGCACTCTAGAAAATTTCAGGGCTCCGGACAGTTACACAGCCTATATTTATCTGTTCCCAGAGTGAAGGCTGGTCTTGGCTCAGGATGTGAGTAGCCCCAGGCCACCTGGGGAGCCCTTCTCCTCTGGGGCCTGAGTTCAGTGTCTCTCCATGGCTCACAGCAGCTGCATCATTAAACTAACCTGGCGGCTGAAGAGAAAGATGAATCTACACTGAGATTAATGATAATGCACTTGGATTTACATAACACGTCAAGTCAGGAGGGATCCTGGAGTGCCCTGTGAGCTGCCCGCCCCACCCACCCCACTTCTGTTTAGGCCGCTCACAACCTGGTCCAGGGACGCGTTGTTGAAGAAAATCGACTTTGTCCGGGAAAGGCCGTCGCCTAGTTCAGAGTGTTTTGTTGTGAGGTTTCGAGAGGTTGAAGCTCTCCTGTTCCTGTCCTGCCTGGAGGGGTTGATGTTTGTTGGGCTGGGGAGGGGGTACGGGGTGGGATGGGGGCTGCAACGGCCTCTCTGACCTTTTCCCTCAGGAGGAAGGGGAGTGAGGACCGGCCGGGCAGATGGGTCCCTGATCAGTTTCCCTATTTGAAACTCTCCCCTGGTTGGAGTCAGGGCCACACAGCCCAGCGTCCAGCCTGCCTCTGGGCCAGACCCTTGGGCCACAGGGTGAACAAGTGGAGCACGCTGTGGGCACATGGGCCTTGCAGGTGCAGGAGGGTCCAGGGGTGGGGGCGTGGTCACTGGGGAGAGAAGGGGAGGGTCTCCCGGCTGCCTGATGGGCAGGAGGAGACAGGAACCCACGCACACATGGATGTGCAGGAGGCAGGCTCTGGGTCCCCTCGGTGGGATAGGTGGGGAGACAGCCCACGCCCTGGGCTGTGATCTCATGAGCAAAGCAGGACCAGGCCTGGCCAGGAATGTAAGGAAGACCTCCCAGGAGCACCCAGGGTGCACAGGCAGGGCCTGAGGCCGCTGATTCACTCAGTGGGAAATCTTCTCTGAGTCATTCCTGAGTCAGTGTTCCAGGACATGGCATGGGCTGTGCAGAGGACCGGGAAAAGTGGGGGACGGGCCCCTCTCCTCCTCAGAGGGCCTGGTGGATGATGCCCCCCTGTGGGTTGGACTGTGGGGCTTTCCTTCTGCCCATCCAATTCCCTCTGGGAGAGGAGTCCAGCTGCCCGCCTCCCCTGCAGGCTTTCTTGGGTACTGTGTCCTGAGATGCTGGCCAACTTTGCCCCATGGGGAAACAAATGCCACCCAGTAGCCTCTCTGCCCAGAGACAGAAGGAGTGGGCCCGGTTGGTCTCCGTCTCAAAGATGCTGGTCAAGGGGCGTGGGGTAGCCTGTCTCCTGACTCACTGGTCATCTCAGGGGAAGGACTGAGGTGGAAACTTTTTACTGGTCCTGTCTTCAGTCAGTCAGGTTTTTCTTAGTTCTTTTTGTCTTTGAAATTTCTTTTCTTTAAAAATTATTTATTTATATTTATTTTACTTTTGGTTGCCCTGGGTCTTCGTTGCTGCGCAGGCTTTCTCAAGTTGTGACGAGTGGGGCGACTCTCTAGTTGTGGTGCATGAGCTTCTCATTGCAGTGGTTTCTCTTGTTGCAGAGCACCGGCTCTAGGGCATGCCAGCTTAGGAGTTGTGGCACACAGTCTTAGTTGTCCCACGGCATGTCGGATCTTCCCAGACCAGGAATCAAATCCGTATCCCTTGCATTTGCAGATAGATTCGTATCTACTGTACCACCAGGGAAGTCCTATTCCTGTCTTTTTTCTCCCTTAAATAAGGACATATTCTTGATGTCTTGTTATGTAATAGTGTGATGTGCTCATTACTGGCAGGCATGTAACTAGGACACACAGCAGTAATAGTTCTCAGAGTGATTTGAAAAATGGTCCAGGGACTCTGGAAGTTGGACACTGCAGATCACAGGTGTACGTGGGATGGTGGTTATACTTCCCAGGGGCTCTCTTTCCTAAAGACTAGCAGCCCTTGAGATCAGGGAAACTCAGACTCCAGGACACTATTTAGATTCAAGCACAAGCAGGTCAGTTCACAGTTGCAGACTGGCACTTTCCTGGGACATCACTCCGCGGTGTATGGACACAGGAATTTCACAGTATACTGCTCCAAGTATCCATAAGTCACATAAGCAAGTTTCCTAAAAAAATTTCTAAAATATTTTATTTTCTAAAAAATGAGTTTTCTACATTTCTTGACTTTCTATGTTTGAATTGTGACTATGTGACTAATATTCTTATCCATACAGAGAAGTATTAATATCAAGAACACCCTCTGTGGTAACTGGGCATATGCATGTAAACTTCCTGTCACCCCAAGTAATAAATGTCTTTGCAAAAGCAAACGCCGTGAAGCGTGTCCTAAGGCTCGGATTTACTTCTGCGTCTTCGCTCAGTGCTGTCACTCTGTCCCAGCGGAAGAGGCGCGGTCCTTGGCTCACATCGAAGCTGCACGTGGAGATGCTGGTCCTTGCGACGAAGGTCGCGCTGAGCTGGGGGGAGGAACTCAGAGCGCAGGCCTGTGGACTGTGGAGCTGACCTTTCATCCGCGCGCCTGGGGTCTGCCTTTCCCGCCCCCAACTCCCCGCCCCGCGCGCACCTGCCCGCCCACCCGCTGCATTCCAGGCTCGCGGTCGCGAAGCTGTTCTGCAAACAGTTCTGTAAACAGGACTAAAAGCCAAACCCGCCCAGCAGCTCGAGACTCGGAACACCGACCGCCCGCAGCCCCTTTTCTAGCAATCGAGACGTTTGCTAGGCTTCACGCAGCGTTTCCACGATTTTTTTCCTGCTCCTCGTACAGAAAACGTGTGTCTATCAGAATGGCTACCGCCCGGGGCCGCCAAATGTCCCTGCCTCCAGCGGCTGCGCTGCTGGCCGCGGGCCGCCGAGGAGGGAGTGGGGCGGGGCTAGAGCGCTTCCCGCGCGGCTCCACGAATGGATGTGCCAGTGGACCGAGCGTTGGGTTCACGCGCCCTGTGCGCCCCCGCACTTGCCCTGTGCGCCCCCTCACTTGCCCGCGCCCCGCCCCTCACTTGCCCGCGCCCCGCCCCTCACCTGCCCGCGCGCCCCGCACCTGCACCTGCACGCGCACCGCGCCTCACCTGCCGCTTGCGCCCTGGGGCCACACCTGCGCATTGGAGTCCCGCCACCAGTTTCCGCTTTGCGAGAAGGAACCGCAGGGAGAGAGTTAGGAAAGGACGGGGCTGGCTCTTCCTCCGGACCCGGAAGGCAGGGTGCTCGGTGTCCCCGCGGGGTCGTGGACCCGTCCCGGGGTGCATGCAGTGAAGGGGGAGGCTGCGAAGCCACAGCTGATATCATACAACTGCGGGAGGCACCTGTCCGAAGGGAAGCCTTAGAAGGAATAAGGTGTGGACGGACCAGTCTTTTGGAAACACGTTCCTTTGAGACAGAGGCGGCGCGTTCAGGGAAGATTGCGGTTTCCCTGGCTGGTTGCAGGGTGGCATGGGCCGGGGCTTGAATTAATTTTTCTGATAATTTTTAGAAGTATTTCTTGAGTATTACACCTTTCTGCAGTGTTACACAGTTTTAGTATTTGTTCTTATTCTTGTACACAGGAACACCTGGAGTCACTACTGGAAGCAGTCCTTTGAGTGGGAGAGATAACACTCATATTGGTCCAGCTGTGTTAGAAGGCTTGGAGCTTCTTGGCCAGAGATGAGGATGACAGTAAAGCAGCAGGTCTGCATGTCCACCCATGCACACTCCCTGTGTCCAGGCCCCGACAGTGGTGAGGAAGCCTGTCAGCATGGCCTGGCTGGCGTGGCTCTTTGCTTTGTGAATAGGGCTTTGCTGAAAGGAAGTTGACCCTTTTCTCCTGCCTGCCCAGCTGGGAGCAGTTGGCCCTTGGGCTCACGAGGGTTCTTTCTCCCAGGGGCACATGTGGGCAGATTCCTTATTTTCCTTTCCTGCTTGAAGGATTTGGTCCTATGACAGGATGACCAGTGTCTGGGTTGTGGCTATGATGGTCTAAGTGGCCAGGGCAGAGAGAGTTCCCCAAGGAAAAGTGGCCCTGGGAAGGCTCTGGGAGTGGCTCCCCGCACGGGAGAGCTGCAGGAGCAGGGTTCAGGGGTGAGTGAGTGTGGGGCGGTGGCCACTTGCCAGATGGCGCCTGAGGCTGCAGACCTCCTGTGCGCGAAGCAGACCAAGTCGTGGGCCTCCGTGGACTCTGCCTTCTGTGGGAAGAGACCCTTAAGCCATGCAGGTGATGATGGTGAGAAAAACGGGAGAGATGAACTGGGAAGGGGGCCAGTGTGGGGCACCGGTCAGGGAGAGTTCCCCTGTGGGACGTGGGGGAGTCCATCATGGAGGTGGCCTTGGGACCACGTGGCCCAGACATGGAGGCAGGAGCACGCTGTTGTCCCTAGGGGGCCACAGGAGGAGGCAGGAAGGCTGCCCTGGTGGCCATGAGCTTGCTGTGGTGGAGGCTCGCTGGCTATGACTGGTGAGACGGGCTTCAGCCAAAGGCTGTGATGCTCTTGTTCCAGCTTTAAAATGTTAAAGTCGTATTGGAAACAGACAAGGAAACAGAGGCTGTGGAGGCCTACAGGGAGGCTGTGGGGGCCGACGAGGACGCTGTGGCGACAGCATGGGTGTGAGATGGTCCAACTGGAAGGTAGGGGGGTGCTGAGGTGTAGTGGTGGTCGTTATCCTGCCAGCTGGGGACCGAATGTGGCAGGAGACAGCTGTGGGCCGGGCCTGGCAGAGCCAACTTGAGAGGGTGGGTTGTCGGAGACCCAGGAGCTCTGTCCCAGGGGTTGAGCATTGGTGGCTTGAATTGGTCCAAGGTGGGAGCATTTACACCACAGAAATGAACAAATCCACAAATCCAGGCTCTTTCCTCTTGACTGATGGGCTTCTCGCCCATCGTGGGATCAGAGGACAGGCTGGGTGGCCACCCAGGACCGCAGTGACCAGAGGGGTGAGGCTGAGGAGCTCACAGACTGGGGGTCTCAGCTGATGAAGGTAGTTCCTCACAGGATAACCATACTTCCCATTCAGGGGGAATCCCGTCCCTTTCGTGTCTGGGATTAAATCCAGCCCTGGTCAGGCACACGTGCCCTCTTCATGAGTGACAGCTAGAGCCGCACCATATTTCTTCCCTCAGGGGAGCCAGGTGTGGCCGCCCATGGGGCGTCTCTACAAACATACCCCTCCCCACACGTTCTCAGTGGCCTCTCGTCCCTCCTTCCATCCGACTCTGTCCTCAGAGGACACCAGCGGATCAAATGCTCTGTTCCCTGGCGTTTTGGAGATTACTGTCCAGGGGCTGGCATGGCCCAGCGGGAGTGGCTTTGCACAGCTCGCGATCTGTATTTCTGTGGACTGTGAGGCTAACCTTCCCTCGGGCTGTATGGGTGGCTTGCTTCAGCATCCAGGAAAGTCCCGCTGCCCGTTCGTAGGGGCAGAGCTGCGGCCTCCCTGTGGGGCTAACGAAAACACCCTGGACGATTTACAAGGACTGACTTTTCTGTGAAGTGTCCAGGACTTTCACCTACTACGCGGTCTGGCGCCGACAGCCCTGGCTGGTGGGGGGTTGTCCCAGCTGGGCGGGAGTGTTGAGGTGCAGATCTGCAGGGAGGCGGCCAGGCCAGGAGCCGGAGTCCAGGCGCCATCCCCGTCTGGCCTTGACTCACTCTCTTGGACGGAAACACTGTATGAGGATTCTGCGGGGATGGGCTGCTGTGGGCCCGGCGAGCCCGGGCTGCTGGTCCTGGTCCCTTGGGAGCATTTGGGAAGGTCTTGATTTTCCTGATTCTGGGGTCGAGAGCTCCTTTCATTAAAGGGTGGGTGGCGGGGGGTGGGTGGGTGGAGTGGAGACATGCCCACTTGATGCCAGGGTACCTGTTGGGGGGGTGGGGACGGCAGGGGGCCCCCACCTGCTTCTCGCTTGGCCAGGGCTGGACCTGGCGGAGCGCACTGACCTGGAATCTGTGCACTGGGGCGGTGATGACCCTGAAAGGAACAGGACCAGAGGAGCCCTGGAGCCTCCACCCGGCTCTCAGCGGGTGGAGGGCGGGGGGTGGTTGGTGTGAGGGGCTGTGCCTGGATCTCTGGGTGGTTGTGGTCAGGCTGCTCACCACCACCCCGACAGCTGCACACACACTCCCAAGGCCCAGACCTTTGGTGTCTGAGTGGACACGGGACAGGTCAAACGTTCCTCTTGGTGGAATGGGTGGGATGGGGGTGGGGGCAGGTGCAATTCCTGCACTGCTGACCCTGGGGCCTCTCAGGGGAGCATGTCCAGGTGGGTAGAGCGTGAGGTGGACAGCTCTGCCGTGGTCGGGGGTCTGGCCCTCCATGGGATGGACGGCTCTGCCTGGCGTCGGGGATCTGGCCCTCTGTGGGGTGGACAGCAGCCCCAGTGTTCTCGAGCAGGACTTCCCAGCTTGTCTGAGTGGAGACTCAGCCCCGAGAGAAAATCCAGAAAGCAAGATCCTAGAAAAATATTTTGTATTATTGCCATTTTTATTTCTGGGTTTCATTCTACCTGTATTTAAAGAAAAGATGGCATAAATCTACTGTTTTTGGCAGAAGCATTTAAAATGTCCTCCTCTCTCAAATTGAAAATAGCTTTCACAATTCTCAGGTCAGAACATACATCCTCCCTGTGGAACCATACTGGTTCCACCCAGTCTGTCATCTACTGAGTCAAGCTCAACTAGTCAGGGTGGACACAACTGCAGGAAAGGTCACCTGGAGCCCCTAGCCTCTGGCAGGAATGCAGAGCCTTCTGTGCAGCCTGCAGCCAGTGAACACAGAGAACACCCCCTGCCCCCTGCCCAAGACCCCCCGCCCCTCAACCTCCCACCAAGGGCAGCATCTCACAGGAACCACCCCCCACCTCCCACCAAGAGCAGCTTCTCACAGGATTCCCCCACCCCAATCCCCACCCAAGGACAGCATCTCACAGGCTCTGTGTGACTGGAACGCCACCCCCAGTCTCTGGGTTCAGAGAGGAAACAGAGGACTGTTTTTTTTCCCCATTTCTAACAGCAAGGGGTTTTCCTCATGAGCCATCAGTTTTCTGATTCTCTGACACCAGCTGGGCCGACAACTCAGTTCTGATGCCAACTCCTAGAGGGAGAGCAGACTCTGCGGGTAGGGGCTCACTCACCAGACCCCCTCATTTCTGCCTAGACGACTGCAGATTTGGTTTTTCTGGCCTGGTCTGGCCTGAAGCTGCCTGGGGCCACACGAGAGTCCCCTCATTAGCAAGAATTTGGGTTTGCTCAGAAGGGTCCTGTTGTGAGCATGAGAAACACTTCCGTTGCTCAGGAAATTCCAACAGTTCTCAGAGTGCTGTGCCGGGAGCCTAGAAGGGTACCAGATGTGTGTTTCCTATCATACACCCAAACAGAGGCTGCTTCCCTTGCCCAGCGCTAGTCACCATGGAACGAGGCCAGAGCTCTAGGTGAGCTGGTCCTTGCACAGGGGAGGGGTCCTGGGGGCTGTCAGTGTCTCTTCACATTTTCTGTCCTCAGAACATAACTTCTGTTTCTGCACTGACCAGTTAGGCTCTGGTAAAAACAAAGTGTTCCAGCAGCCACTGGAGCACTGGACAAGTGGCTGGTGCCCTGCAGTGTTATTATTTATTGAGATGACTGCTTTATTTAGTTCCAGTCAGCTCAAGCCCCTGTGGCTCATGGCTGTGCTGTGAAGCTCTACACACAGACCCTCTGGAGATGATGGGAGACCTCAAGGGGAGAGAGTGCCGCCCCCCGAGTCGGGAGCAGCTGCATACCCCTCATCTCTTACTTCCCTCCCTGGAACTGTAACCTAAAGTGAGGAGACACTGGCATTCCTGGCCGTGCTCAGTATTGGATTCATCCATCCATCCATCCACTCATCAATCCATCCATCCATTCAATCGGCATCACCAATTCAATGCACATGAACTTGGGTGAACTCTGGGAGATGGTGAGGGGAGGGCAAGGAAGTCTGGTGTGCTGCAGTCCATGAGGTAGCAAAGAGTCGGACATGACTTAGCGACTGAACATCAACCATCCATTTGACCATCTATTCATCCATTCACTCCTCCCTGCATACATCCCTCTGTCCATCCATCTTTGAACAAATATTTCTTGAGCATGTTCAACACTTGGTCACATTCAGTGCTTTTCCAGGTACATGAATTTAGAGTCACACAGCAATTCTTAGAATAGTTGCAGAATCGAATTTAGTATAAGAGCAGAGTTAAATACTGAAATTATGTTTAAAAGTTCTCCTTCCCAAAGCGATGCCAATCGAGAGGGTGACTCCTAGTGGGAGGAGGTGGGTGAAACAGGTGAAGTGATGCCGTACGTCCAGTGTTTGAAGGGTCCTCCTGAGTGAGATGGCGACTGCCTGCAGTGTGGCATCCTGCACCTGCAGCAGGTGTAAAGTGCTTGTTCAGTACAGGGGCGGGTGGTTCTTAAAGGGGTGTTGGTGATGGAGGGCAGGTTTGGGAGCTACGTGGCTTCCCCCGCATGGAAGCCTGGGTTAGATGGAACTGAGCAGGGGCCCTGGTGGAGCTCAGGAAGGGGAGTGAATCAGAAATCTAATAGTGGAGAAAATGGAGACAGAAGCAGCCGTGAGCCACAGTACCCTTGGGAGGCTGGTGTTTCTCTAGGGAGGGGTGGCATTGAGGTCAGAGGAGGCTCGGCCAGCTCTGGGCACGCTGCAGGGAGTGGTGCCCAGGGACTGCCTGGAGGAGGTGCTTACTCTGAGCCCGAGCCCCTCCCTGCCTCCCCTTCCCCACGCCTGTCCGGGAACTGGGCCTTGTGGGTGGGAACAACTCTTGCCAAGAGGAGAGCCGCCGGATGGAAGCATAGCTGCACATTTTGTTCTGTGCATGGTGGACAGCACCGGTGAGATGGCCTGTGGCCCTCTGGCCCGTATCTGTGTCATGAGAAGGCACTGGGCCAGGGCCCTTTTCTCTGTTCCTGGGACAACAACAGATTAGCACAGAGCAGGCCTTGTGCACAGAAGAGCCTCGCCCCTCAAATCTGGACATCCATGCAAGAGATGTTGAATGTGGTATACAAATGCACACAGAGATTTATGAGTGTATATAATACATATATAGCATTTGGAATGGAGCACTTCTATATCCCAGCAAAATGCATTTCTCTCTGTGTAGGTGAGAGAGCTGGGTGTATGTGCGGCCTGGGAAGGATTTGTTTGCAGGGAAATTAATGAAATTTTACATTTACATAAATCACCAATTACATGGTCAGCTTCTTTCTAAACCTTTACAAGCTTACATAAATACTTTAATCTAATTGCCTTGAAGCCCCACTGTCGTGGAATTCTACAGCTCCAGCTCCCATTCCAGGGCCCAGGTCACTCCCCTTGGTTTGGGGAACACCTTAACCATGTGCTGGCAGAGCTAGGGTGGGGGAGAAAAGGGGCCTGAGCAGACCCAGCAGCAGGGCTGGACAGCAACTAGGGAGTCCGGCTTTGGTCCCAGGTCTGGATGGACACACAGGCAGGGGTGGGGGCCTGTTTGGGAGAGGTTAGTGGGGCAGGCCTGTGGGCAGGTGTGGCCCGCTGGTGCTGGTGCTGGGGCCCTAGCTGGGGGTTGGGGGGTTACAGGCAGCCATGGGGAGGGGCCTCCAGAGGGGAAGGAGAGGCCTGCAAGCATGGAGGCCCAGTCTTTCCTGGGGGCCACTTGCCCACCTCTGATTTCAGACTTCCATAGCCAGGCTGCTTCTCTCACACGAAGCCCTTTCCAGCTGATTTCTGTCCATTAGGGAATGAAGGCAGTTAGTGGCGATTTAGGAAAATGTTAAACGTCATGTGTGGAAGTGGCGTTTTCCCACCAAGGTCCCATCTGCACACACGCACTTGACACAGCAGTCCGCTGGCGCTTTTAGGACAAGATCTGTGCCTCGTTGCTATTCACCCAGGGAAGCCGCCTGGCTCCTCAAGGAACCTTCACTCAGGGCTTGGCTTGAGTTTTTTCCAGCAGATGGGGAAACCGGAGTTGTGGTGTGGCCACGCACCCCTAGCCGAGGCTCAGGCAGCTGAGATGGGGGGCTCCTGAAGCTGGGGTCCGGGCCCTCTGCCAGCCCCAGGCGGGGTTGCATTCCACAGGCTCCCAGGGAGCCCACACCAGCTCCAGCTCACTCTGTCAGCACCTGCTGGGGAGGCTATTGATTACGCAGGTCTCTGTGGGTGGCCTCTCCCCCGGGAGCCTGTCCCAGCCACAGCCAAAGCCTGTGTGAGTGAGAACACTCGGCGTGGCTGCAGGAAGTCCAGCTGCATGGACGTGTGTGAACCCCAGGCTGCCTTGGGGTTCCCCGGCGGTGTGGAGCCATGGGTTGCCCGGGTCGAAGGTGGCCCCCTTCCCAAGTGAGTGGGGGGTCTTTCCCTGGGCCTGGCCTGGGCCTGCTCCTCTGGGAAGGGCTCTGCATCTTCTCTATGCAGCCCAGTGGCCAGGCCTTGGACCATGTGGGGCGGATGACGGCCAGTTCCACAACCCCCGCCTCCTCCCACCACCACCTGCTTGCCGTGGCTGGGATTTCACTGGAGTGGGGAGGAATTCTTTCCAAGGAGTCCGTTCTGGAGGCCTTGTCCTTCCTCTGGTAATTTATGAGACATTTGCTGTTGCATCTGGACCCTCCCTCAGGGTTTTGCGTGTTACTGTAAAGGTTTTATTCTCACCCTAAAAGTACAAGACAATTGCTAGTTTTGTTCCAGGAAGCTTATGACTTTTAAGAATGAAGGGTCTTTTCTAAGAGACACGTGTAGCTAGCTGTGTGACCTGAGCGTGTTGTCATCATCTTTCTGGATCTGAGACCACACTTCTGCGAGGAGGCGGCTGTCTAGATCCCGGTGTAGACCCTCCACGCCCTGACGCCCTGACCGCCTCTGCACAGTCAGAGAAACAATGCCCGTTGTCGACCGAGAGTCCATGGAACAAAAATGGCTGGATCAGGTCTTCCTAGAGCAGTGCTGGTGGGGTGGGGAGCCTGGGGAGATGAGCAGCAAAGGAAATAGGAGAAAGAGCACTTCAGATGTGTTGGCAATGGTCTGATCTGGCTGGGCAGAG